AGAACACAACACCCCTGACACCGAAGCTGCAGGTGAGGACTGGGGTTGGGCTGAGCTCTCGGCCCTGCTCCCTTGGTTCAATGCTGCAGGAAGCTGCCTGCACCCTGCCCTCCTGCAGAGATGCTGGTGGGCGAGGAGGATGCCCAGAAAGCCTGATCAATCCCCTGCCCTCTTTCCGGTGGAAGCCAAAACCCAGGAAGTCAGCGTGTGCCTGGAAGACATCATGGAGAAGCTGCGGAGCGCCTTCCCCAACTCTCGAGGTACTCGAGTGAAATCACCCTCTCTGGCCTCTTACTGCTCCCTCAGATGAGGTTTTCCCCACAGAGCCCTACCCCGATCCCAGCTTCCCTGCGACAGCTGATCCCACAGAGCACCTACAGCCAAGAGCTATGCTGCCACGGCGCTGCTGGGACTGGTGTGTGGCCTGGGCACAGAGAGGATGAGGAGGAGGTTTCACACCTGCAAGGAGAGGCGATCAGAGCTGCCAGGAGTATGGACCAACTAGATCCCCGCAGATGAGCTGGAAGGCAGCCTCCTGCCCTGCTTGGGACCCTGCACCCTGCGGGGCTTCCCACTGCAAAGATGGATAGACCTGCCAGCATCAAGTTTGCAGTGATCACCTTGAGCGACCTCCTCACTTCGTCCCTGTCCAGACCCCTCTCCAGGAGAGGTCAAGGCCCCAGTTACCTGGCGAGATGGAAGCAATGGTGCAAGCTCTCCTAGCTGCTCATAGATGGCTCTTCCCAGCAGGGATAGGGACCGGGGGATGCATGTGTGGACGGCTCTCCACTCGCCCAGTGGGGTTTGGTGTTGGTCTTTCTGCTGTCCCTCTGTGCTCCAGCCCGGGAGCAGCACTCGGTCGCTCGCCCAGGCTGCCCATGCGTGTGCCGGGGGAAGACATTGCTTGGTGCCAGCACTAACATGAGGCCGGGGAGAGCTTCCTTCTCTGCCCACGCAGACCCTTGCCCACTTTCTGCCATCCCTGAGCGGGATACTTCTGGTTCTGCAGCAGCCCTGTTCTAACCAGGTGGCTCTGGGTCCTATTTTCCTGACCTCTCCATTTCTCTTTCAGGTATGACCTCCCTTATCTAACACCTCCTGTGAGTGAGAGGCTTTTCCTAACCAGCTACCTGGCTGCTTTCCTTCCCCTCCTCTCCCTGCCATGCTCCCTCTGCTGTGTCAGACCCCACACAGACTCCCTCCGAGCCAGTTGTGCAGGATGCTTGCCAGCTCCAGAAGATCTCAGGGGAACATAGGTCATGCAGAAGTGGGACTGTGGGCTCCCCAGGAGGCTGGCTCGGTCACAGTGTCTAAGCCTGGGTGGAAAGGTTCAGAAGAACTGAAGCTGTGAAAGCTGCCTGTCTCCCCCAGCACTTGTGGGCTGCTGCCTTTGACAGCCCTCGGGGGATGCAGAGCTCAGCATCCCGCTCCTCTTCAGTTGTGCCCAGCAGCCTCCAGGTTTATGGGGCACCAAAACACTCCTGGAGCCACCCAGTTTTTAAAAGAACTCTTTCTAACAGCATCCAGCTGCCAGTCTTACAGATTGAACTCTCTCTGCCACCCAGGGCTCCGCAGCCAGCCAGGCACATACCGTCTGGTGGGGAGAGTCTGCGAGGTTTATGGGGTAGGGTTGAGTCCGTGTTAAAGCTTCAGTCCAGCTAGTAGCCTTATCTTGAGAGGGTCTTTATAACAGAGCCTTAATTTGCATATATTTCTATATATTATATATATATAGTGTACTTAAATACTCTCATGGACTCACTCCATTAAATTCTAATACTGTAAGTGCAGCTGCCCTTCACTTTCAGTCCTGCCCAACATCTGCTCCCGTGGGGACCAGCATCTTCCCTGTTGCTGGTGCTGCCTTGGAGCGGGGCTGCTGAGGGGAGCTCAGAGGAGGGCCGGACTGGCAGCAGGGACTC